ATTGAGGGAGGCTCATACTGAAGCCTTCTCTAAGAACCCCAAGACCTTGCAGCATATAACAGAGCAAAACTTGAGAGAAATAATGGGAACGAAGAAAATGGGGAAATACCAGCAAATGTTCTCTGTGTTAAATAAACATGGCATAGAGACTAGAGCTAAACCTGTCAGTGAGCTATAAATGCAAATTTCCATTGCTATTTGTCATTATAAATATTTATAAAATATTTTTTACCAAAAAAAGTCTCTTTTTGTAAGTATGTTCTCATTTTGGCAAACAGTTCAATATGCAGCCTTCCATGTAATTTAGATTTCTTTTTTTTTTTTGCCCATTTCTTTTGAATATTAAACCAAGTGTTTAAATTAGATACAGTAAGTTTAATTTCAACATGAAAACTTCCAAGAACTTCAGACAAAAACTAATATAAGTACATTAAGGCATACCTTTTTAAGTGCATTGAAAGTACCATATTATCAAATAGCGCAAAAATTAGCTGTTCAAATAAAAAAAAAAATGTCAGAAATACTGAATTTAAAATTTTTACCCAGAGTCCTGACAAGTCATGAAATATTACTGTAAGAATATTGATTCAGGTTATTTTGGCTACAAAGTTTCTTTATACATTTACATTAACTGGACATAATGTGGGGGTTTTTTTGTTCTGTTTTTGAATTGTCACAAATTCACAGTTCTGCTTGCTGAGATTGCAAATCCAGAAGTCCAAACTTCTGTCAGTTGCTAGATATTAAAAGCACTTATTTCCAAGTAGGAAAAAATAATTTCTAGATGACACACTGAGGTTTTAAAATGCAACCAATCAGAAATACAATGGTAGTTATTAAAAGCCAGTAGTTTGAAGAACAGACTGTAGTCACAATAAATGATTTGAGTTTGGAAGAATTTCCACTTAAAAAGTAAACTGATATTAAATAAATTGTGTGTTAGTAAGGAGATATGTGTAGTGCCTATAATTTAATTTTTTTTTTAGTATTTTACTTCAAAATGTGAACTGGGAGGTTTGCTTGCAAAATGGCATTTCTAATCACCACTGGGTAGAAAAATTATACTCTACTAATCATTCTTGTAGGCCTGAAAATATCTATTTGTTGATACTTCTTACACACTCAGTGCTTCTGAGAATTATGTACTTATATGGAAGTTTAGGTTTGACACTTTCCAGGCTGGGGTTTAGAGCGTGGAAAGAAGATAGTGTTATTTTACAGAAAGTAAGACGAACAACATTGGTGCTCATGTATACAAAATGCAGCATGAGCTGATAAGAAGCAAGGATGGAAGTAGCTTGTCTGAATGCAAGCCAAAAAATTTGGGATGACATTACATCTTCAGCCAAGAGAAGAAAGTGAGGTATATATAAAAAGAGTTGCAGGTGGTGTTTACAAGCTTTGGTTGCCTGATTAATGGGATCTACAATCTACAGATTTTTATCTTAGGCTTAAGAGGAACCTTGTTGAAAAAGCTAGTGTTGTGGTGCAGCTTCAGTGTCAGTCTCATCTTTTTTCTTTTTCTTCTTCTCCTTTTTCTTTTTTCTGATTCAGAAAGCAGTGCAATGAAAGGAAAAGTATCAGGGAAAATAAAGTTTTCAGTCACAAGAATAATTTTGATAATTGAGAAAAATGGCATAAATACAGTACATATTCCAACAAACAACCTCCAGACCGATTTTCATGCAAATGAAGGGAAGAGAAAGCAAAAGACAGCAGAGTGGCAGAAGGACTGAAAAAGAGCAAGGGCATATGAGGTGGCATGACAGCTTGGTACAAAAGCTGGAGAGCACCTGGCAACCAAGAATGCATGTAGCAGAAAGAAAAAAGAATGTGCAAGCTTGGGGAAAAAAAAAAAAAGGAAAGAGAACAAGTAAAAGTCCTACTCAGAGTTCGGAATTATATTTGTTTATTTTGCATAATGTTCAGTATAACAACCCAGATAGTTGCAAAAACATGTTTTCATTGCATTCAGACTGATTTTCTAAAGAAAAACAAATTACTCCTTCTCTCCCTCCCATTATTATATTCTAAAATGGCTGGAAATATGCTTAAGTCCATGTGAATAGTAAGAAGAAAAAAAGCAGATGCAGTTCAAACCTAAATCATCTTCAGATTCTCTCATTCCTTCTTTTACTATTTACACATGTGGCCTCATGTCCATAATCTTTCCAGTTTCTGATCAACAACAGGCAATGCAAGTGGCAAATATACTGGGCTGGATTTATTCCTTTAAGGACTGTTCAGAAGCTTCAAAAGACAGCAGTATCAGTCTTTCCTAGAGTCTTTATTATGCAAAACTATTCAGCACCTCTGGAATAATTAACATAGGTCACTGGGAAAACAGGCACACCACTCTTTCCCTTTGCTTCTCTTTTTCTTTATCTCATTTTTTTCCCCTTCTGTAATTTAATTTCACGATGAATTAAAACCAGCTGCAACAAAGTCTTGCAAATGATAGTGCCTATAAAATGTGTTCATTGTCAGACTCTACAACTGTTCTTCCAATTCTCCAATTTCACATTTCAAATAATTTGCTTTTCTTATATGTGACTACACATCCTTTCTTGAAAGAGGATGGTCATTAAAAAAACACATCAGTTCACAGAAAGACAGCTTGAAAAAACACTGGCTATTTTATGAATATCATTCCTCAAGCTATGCACAAGACAATAGTAATGAAAGCTAGGAATGGGGGGTTGGGGGTGGGGGGCAGAATTTGATCTTTTTTGCCTTCAAACACCGCCATATAACAGATGAAAACATAGGTCACATGAGTCTGGAATTTCCATCCTCTGGATTTTCAATGTCTTTTTGGATGAAATCTTTAAAAGCAAAATCTGAGTTAACAAAAATACACACAATATTGTGAACCTTTTCTAGTGCAGAATTTCACAGTAAGCTATGAGCTTAATGAGTTGTTTTCAAGATCAAATATGTGTATATGCAGGCTTGGATTGTGGAGACAAAAGAGTAGACTTCATTAACGACAAGGTACATGATTTATTTTTTCTTTACTATTCTGAAAGTGACAAAGAGTATTTCAATGTCGCAGGTGAACAATTCAGCAACAGAATGTATTTTAGAGATGCAAGTCTGGGGTTCCTAAATAGCTTTAGATTGACACTACACAAGCCATTCTTTATGGGTCCCCCCAAAAATGATTTGAAATCATAAAAGCAGTCCTGAGTTTTCATATTTCAACAGAAAAAGTTGATTTTTTCAGTCATTTCAGCATAGTAAAGCTGAAAGCTTGAAGGCTTCATTTTGGATTATTTGATATGAAATAATTGAGTTCTGCAGTTGTATGCCCCACTGCTGGAACTGGTATTACCAAATACAAGATATGTAAAGGAGCTGCCTGACAAAACTATGCAAGGTTTTATTTTGAAGGAAAACTGTTCAGGTGCACAATTTCAAAGCAGAACCTAAGCTAAAAAGACCATCTAAAGAAATATTCCTTATCTTGGAAACTCAGTGATTCCAAAATAAGGGTTGCAAACCCCAGCCTTTCATCAGAGTGACCCAGGAACATCTAATGGCAGCAGAGTAGGATGTACTCTGTCTCACTGCTCCTTACATACACAGTGGCAGATCAGACACAGAAAGGGACTGTCACAATGTGCATGCAATGCCCAAACAGAACAAAACAAATGTGTTTAACTGTGGTCCAATTAGCCTTTAACAGTACCTAATTTTTTTTTTTTTTTTTGCCTTTTTGTGTCATATAGCAGAGCTAAGGCCTGCAACCTGACTAGCACAAATCAAACTTCCCATTCTTTACACAGATGTGGTGTAGCCTAAGTTCCTCAGAGGAAAACTGGACTTCTAATCTGCCAGGAAATCTATTTATTAACTTCACCAGTTGCTGTCAGCTAGGGAAGATGAAGGCTGGACTGATGAGACATTTCAGGAACTCATATGATACAATCAGAAAAAATTTCAGAGGAATCACAGAATTACAGATTATTCTGAATTGAAAGGGGCTTACAGGGATTATAGTCCAAAACCCCAAATCCTAAAGAACTGAAAGAAATCTTACTCCATAGGAGACTACAACTTAGATAGAACAAGTTTCTTTCATTATATACTGTGGTCTACTGAAGAAAAGATAAGCTAAATATGAGCAAATATATTCCTTTTTTTAAAGTTAAACTTTTAAACTTTTAAAAAAACATGTATTGAAAGGCTCCTGAATATACCCCTATCAGGCATCAGAAAGCTTGGCCTGGTGTATGTTAGATTTAATTTTCCATCTTTACTGGTAAAACTGACATTTCTCCATGTAACTTGAGAGCCTTTACTATTCTTGGCACCCAATAAAACTTTCCATATGAAAGCCTCTATTTCAATTTTCACCAGTGAAAACACACTTTCACTTTGTTGAGACAGAAGTTGAAGTTTCTTACTTTATTGTATTGAAAACTAAATTTGCCACATATAAAGAAAACCAGCAAGAGACTTTGGAAATGCCAAAACACTGGTACAGGCTCTGTAAAACTGCATTTCTAAGACACACAACAGAACTAAAATGCTGTGAGGGCACACGTGAACAGAAGTATATAGAAACATAGAATCAAGTATTCTCTACTAACTTGTCTTCAATTGTCAACAGCTTAATCCTCCAGCCTGACAGACTACCCAGCATGAGCTGGTTATCAAAACTGGTTGTCAAAGAGTACTGGGAGCACAGGATGTCTTGATTCTGCAAGTGAGGTTGCAAAATGCAACTATGAAGTTTCATTGGCTCTTATTTATGGTGGATGTGGCTGCAATCCCTTTCAGACAGTTTTAGCATCAGGCTAGGCTGTAATCTCTCCACTTTTCAAGAAACTGACAAAGGTTTGCCTGTAGTTCTGTGGTCCTGTGGTACAAAAGTTTAGATTTAGTTCAGATAGCTACGATGTTCTCACTTTCACTTCACTGAACTATTTGCAGTAATATGGACATGGCTATCATACGTGATGATGTGTGTCACACCAAAGCTATACTTCACTTACCACATTGCTGCATGTCCTGTACCGGATGTTTCGCCCTTCACAGGTCCTGTGTCCAAAAATTAAAAACAAAGCCAAAAACGTTAATAACTGAATATAAAAAGCCAACATATAATGTTTACAGTGTCATTAACTTCCCCTTATATATCTCTAATCACCTACTCCCCCACAAACCCTCTTCCCCAAAGTAAAGTGTTTTATCTGTCCCTATTGATGTATGAAAGCTACAAATATTTAGTTTCCTACCTCTGCTTTAAAAATTACTTTCTAGAAGGTAGTATCAGCTTGTAAATGATATTAGAAACGAGAATACAGAATTTAGCTGGAAAACAACATCTGAATGACATGAATAATATCTTCTGTCTCCAAGCAGTTCCTAATGATTTCACAAGGGCATAGCTCTGTCTACCTGGGCACATGCTCTAGCATTGGCACAGTCCGAGAAGGCAGGCTTTGTCTTCTGGGGAACCACCGGGCATTGGGATGAAGGAACTATGCCTGCAGCAGCAAGAACTCATAGTATAGTTTGGGTTGGAAGGGACAATCTACTTCCAATCCCACTGTCATTGGCAGAGACACCTTTCACTGGACCAGATCGCTCAGAGCTCCATTCAACTTGGCCTTGAACACTTTTGGGGATGGGACATTCAAGGCTTCTTCTGACAACTTGTTTCAGTGCCTCACCACTCTCACAGCAAAACATTTCTTTATAATATTTAACTTAAACCTACTGTCTTTCAGTTTTGATTTACCCTCTTTCAGGCTAGCGTGACGTAGCTTTCTCCCAATTTGATATGAGGGAAGAAGGAGAGCATAAAGCATTCTCCTCAATCCACTGGTGCAGCAGCTGGGCCCAGTGAGGTCAAGGAGAGCACATACCCTGACATGTGCTCTCCATGGCTCTCCTCCTTCAGTCCCACAGCAGACCCATACCAGCCCTGATGCTGGCAGGGCTCCCAAAAACAAGGTCAACAGCCAGATATCTTTTCAGCGCTCAGCAGCATGTACTCTGAGCATTTGACCTTAGGTGAAGTTTCACTATATTATGAGTTCAGACAGTATACTCTGCTGAGGCCCTCATGCAAATCAGAATGCAGGGTTTGGCTTTTCAAATGTATTCTTCAAAAGAACAGAATTCCTAACATTTTTAATTTCTTAATTTCACAACTTTCCCCCCTCCCTCCTTCTTTTTTTTTTGGCCAGCACTTAACAAGCACACATTCCTTCAGGAATAAGTGCCTGCCAAACCTGATTTTTAAAATCCAAACCATTTTGAACTATCTAACGGCAAGGACACAGCATCTGCATTGTTTTTTAAATTTTTTTTTTAAAGCAGAGAAACTTTTCTCATACTGACTTAACTCTAAAATAAATGGAACAAGTTTCCCTTAAGTTATTGAAGTCATCCTCTCTGCCTCCATCATCCACAAGACTTAATTTTGAAATTTACCAAGTAGTCATTTACATACCATGGTTGTCTAAATGATCAAAAGAGGAGACAAGCAAGTAAATAAACCTCATCATATTTTCAGAATAAATTTAAGTGGAAAGATAACACATTCTCCCGTGTAGCACTTTGCATTTAAAAATGATATTAAATGCATAACAGAAATATCATTAATCACTATCACTGTCACTAATTCAATGGCTTTGTAGCATTACATATTTAATTCCAGTGAATTCTCCATGCACAGAAGTGAAAAATGTGCACAGAGTATCTAGCAGTAGAAAAACTTTGTTCTGGCAGTACAATAATAAAAATTATATACATACTAGACTATGAACTAAAAAACCCAACTAAAAGACCCAATAAGAAAAAACACACAAGCAACACTCCCTCCCACAAACACTACTCCAGTCATTCCTAAGCAATATAGGAAAGCAATATTCCTACAAAAGTACAGGATAAATAGTTCATACTGCATTCAATAAAGGTACTTTTCTAATGATAGATAGCAAATAATATATAATAGTATATTATGCAGAATGCAGGCAGCCCTAGTACAGGCCTCATTTACCACACTGAATAGCTTGTTCATCAAGCTTGATACCTGCCCCATGTGTCTCTCAGAAATGCCAAACAATCCATCAGACATTACTTTGCTTCACACAGACTCACTATTAGCATAATTTCATAGCTGTAACTGATTAATCTTAAAACCACTGAACTTCCAGGAAAAGTTTAGCTTTCTTTCTATCAGCTGCCTCTCAGTTTCTTCCTCTTTTCATGGTTTCTTTATATTATCTGTTTTGAAATAAAAAAGCCCCACTCTTCACTTGTTCTCTGCATTAGGGAAAAGAATAGATTCTTTCATTAGACATATAACAAAATAACTATTCCACTCTTTTCTTCATTTTTCTTCTGGTTAATGGCCAGGGTTGTTCAGATAAAATGTGCAACTCTGGTTGCAGGTAGTGCTCTTATGATTCATGAAGACTAGGAAGCACTCTTGGAAAATTCACCTTGTTTCCCCAGCAAGACCATACTTTGGAGTTTGGTAGTTTAAACTCATTAGTTTCATTAGTTATCACCCATCAGCCAAAAGCATGCAAACAACTTTCAGCCTCAGACAATATATTTTCACAATAGATTTGCATTGTAGTTTGTATTTCAGATCTACTCTGCCTCAGGACAGTATTTCAGATTCTCTTAAGCACAAGTAACTATTTTGGAACTCAAACTCACGGGATTTGCATGCATATCTCAGCATGGACACTTTGCAGAATTCCACAGCACTGAGCCTTTAAGATGCAAGGAAGGATCATGGCAGATTAGTGAGCCCATGTTGTGAGATGCAGTCATCATTTATCCTCTGATCTCTGCAGGATATAAATGACAATTCCTACCAACAAGGAGTACACACAGCCAGTAGGAAAACTCGGAAGTCAACCAAAATGCCAAGTTCATCTTGAAGAGCACAGAAAGAGTGGGAGAAGGAAGCAATACTTCTAGCCTTGTCTGTTATCTACACTGCAGGGGATTTTTCAGTGGAAAAAGGAAGCTGAGGGATTGGCTTGACAGGGAATTATTATCATGTGAATATGAAAGAAAAGCAAACTGTTGGGAGTCGTGTTTCATTCCTTAAACTTAGTCACTTGTTTCCAGTAAAGTTTCTGAAAGAGGTTAACAACTTTTAATATATTAAAATATTCACTTCTCTTAATGTAAACAACCCAAACCCCTGGTATTTCTTTCTCCAGGCTCCAGTTTGTAGAGGGACTTAGTTCAAGTTCCCCCCCTCAAAGGTCTCAAGTAGATGTGTATTTATGCTCAGCTAGAGTTAGAAACCTCGCAAAAATCCATGCCAGAAAGAATAGCAACCCCCGCCAAAGTTGCCTGTATCTGTAATTACCAAAGGCTATGAAAGAGATTTTCAGAGAAGGATCTCATCAACTCCTGACACTCTCAGCAGTTATTAGGCTTTTCTTAAGAAACAAGTCTGCACATACACAAGCAACTATGAACCATGGGTGGGTTATTTTTGTGTATATGAATTTTGATGCAGCTGTTCACTACAGAGTTTAGAAGTTGATGCAATGTTGAATAATCTCCATGTGCTTTATTTTCACAGACCTTGATAGCCACTTTTCTGAGACAGATTCTGGATTCTGCAAAGTACTTGTGAGATAAGTATGCTGTGGGTCTGTCTTTTCCCAAGAGATCTTAGGCAGGCTGTGGCATGAAGCCAGGCTCACATGTGGTGATAACACCATCTTGCATCTCCCTTTCTTCACACAGTTGCTCTCACCTCCTTCCCAAATGTGGCACAGTATTATGACTTCCTGTCATCCTCAGTATAATTTCTGTGTTTGTGCTTCTCTGAGGAATAGTAAGTCTCTTTTAATATTCCAGCATACCCCTTATCCTGTAAAGGAACTGAGAAGGAAGGTCCTTGCACACCAAGTTGTTATGAACAAGAAAGATGCATCAGGACTGCATTCACTTTAAGGAATTCACTTTCTGAAACTATTTGGTTTGGTCTGCTGAACTCATGTCTAAATCATTCAATTGTCAATAATTTGCAAAGATTTAAAAAGATTTTTCCATATCCTTCTGTTCACAAGCACTTTGACTGTCATGGTGGGTTGTTGAGATGCACTGGTACGTTTTGCCATGCATCTGTGGAAATCTCCCATTCTCTATGTTTAGAAGACTGTCTCCTACAAGTTCCGGCATGTTGAAATGTGAAATATCGTAAGAGTTACATAAATAGTTAACTTTGAGACAAGAAAAGTGGGCATGGATGCACCAGCCAAATTTCCCTGGCAAGTTTAGTTACAGATCATATGAATATTCTTCTGCGGTCAAACAAAATAAACAACCAGGAAGCAAAATGCCAACTTCAGTCACTACATGCAGAAAACCAGCAAGGTAAACAAAAACATGTGTACTGATCAGGGGCCACGAAAGGCCAACTTTTGTCATAAATAATGTTTTTCACAACCTTAAAGTTGTTACTAGGCAATCAATAATTCTGATGTAAATGATGTTATACTTAGCATCAATGGCTTCGTGCACCTCATGAGGGTCAATAAGGCCAAGCACAAGATCCTACATGGCAACAATCTCCACTATTAATACAGACTGAGTCATGATTTGACCAAGAACAGGGAAGGACTTGGGGATACTAGTGGATGAAAAATTAAATATGAGCTGACAGTGTGCACTTGCAGTCCAGAAAGCAAATTTTATCCTGGACTGCATAAAGGGAAGTATGACCGTCAGGTCAAGGGAGATGATTCTCTCCCTCCAGTATGCTCTCATGAGATCTCATCTGGAATGTTGTGTTCAGGTCTGTGTCCTCAGCAGCAGACAGAACCTGAGCTGTGCAAGCAGATCCAGGTCACAAAAATAATTCATGGGGTGAAACACCACTCCTATGAAGAAAGACTGGGAATGTGAAGGTTAGAGATGGATTCACAAGGGGAAAGTAGTGTTTAACTAAATTTTCTTATATAACAAGGCCAGCCATCTCATTCACTAGTAGATGTATTTTTACTAGAATTTAGCAAAGCTTTTGATAGAGTTTGTACTATATCCCTCTGGTA